GGGGGGGGATTCCCCCCCCCCCCCAAAAAAAAAAATTTCTCTCGGGCCCCACTCTTTTTTTTTGGGAGGGGGGGTTAAACCCTTTTTTTAAAATTTTTTTAAACCTTTTTTAAACCTTTTTAACACCTTTTTAAAGCTTTTTTAAATTTTTTTAACCCCCCCCCCCCCCTTGGACTCTTTAGGGGGGGGGGCTTCCAACGCCCCTTTGGCCGGGGGTGTCCTCGAAAGTGGGCAGTTCCAACCTTTTGCCCCCCCCTTTTCCAGAAAAGTGCCCCCCCCCCCCCCCGCGCGCGAGACGGCGCACACCCACACCCTCCCCTCCCCTCCCTCTCCAGATGTCTGCAGTCGACGACAACCCCTTCCTGCCTCCGCCCTACGCGTCGCACGACACGAACCTCGACGCCGGAGAGCTGGGGGCCGGGCCGCCCCGCAGCGAGCTGTGAGCGGCGTCTCCTCACAGCTTCGCGCCTGAACAGGCAAGCGCGAGGACTCGCTCAACGAGCTGCTTCTGCCGCGCACCTCCGCCGGCCCCGCCGCGCGCTCCTCCCGGCCCGGGCTGCTCGCCCGCCGCGCAAACAAGAAGAACGCGAGCCGGCTCAGCGGCGAGGACGAGTACGACTCGCCGTGAGGCGGCGTGCAGCGCGGGCGATTTGGCGACCCTGCTCGCGCCGCGCCACGCTCTACCGCTCTACTAGAGGCTCTAGTCTGTGGTCAGCTTAGAGTGGCCAGGCGGCTGCGCCGGCTGCCGTGTATAAGCAGCTCGTACGTCTCGCGAAGATGTTGTGCTCTGATGTTACCACTGTTAACCCGTAGTTGTAGCTTGTACGGGGGGGTGTCATAACACGTCAATATATACACGGGGTGTGGGGAACCGTGAGTTGTGTATAGAGTTGACCAGGGGTTGTGCGCCGGGCCCTCCCTGCTCGGCTCCAGCGAGTAGACAAGTGTTACCATCAACAGAGGAGAAGGAACAAGGATCTGACCTCAGGGCTGGGATGTTGACCAAGCGCTGGTAGTGCGGGTTACTCGAGTAGCGTGGTTTTACCTCACAGGTCTCACAGTGTGCCGGCACAGTCGCTGAGCAGTGTCGCTCTCACTACTCACACAAGCCGCAGCACAAGTGACTGAGGGCCAGTGAGGGCGAGCCCATCGCTGTCAAAGCTGTGGCAGCCGCACAGTGCGCTGTGTGCCACATCTGTGCACAGAGAGCGTGTGAGCAGCAGAGGAGCTGCTCTCCAGGCTTCAGGCGCAAGGAGCTGCATGCCACCGAAGGCGCTGTAGAGGTTCGCCGAGCGCGGCGCAGGTTCGAGGAAGCCGCCACCGACGAGCGCGTTGGTTGGAGTATTCACTCCGGACAACGGCCGCACACGCGGCACACGAGCTGGCACGTGGCAGCTGCGGTCGCGATGCGCGACGTCGGATAGCGCATAGCGGCGAGGCGCGGGACCGTCTGTGGCGAAGTGGGTCGCGTCCTCCTATTTCCGTCACACACGGTCCACACCCTTTACACAGACTTTTGTTGGAGACACACATTCAAGTTGATTCACAAGCAACGAGCTCACCCGCTCACCTCTCGGCTCTCGCTCAGCTCGCCTCCCACGCCCCTCTCGCCTCTGTCTCTGGTCTCCGTCTGCTCGCCGACAACCGACGCGGTCGCCGCCTCGAGCACGGCCGCGAGGTAGGCCGTCCGCCTCTGCCGCTCCCCGCCACGGGTTGCCTCGACCCACTCCCAGTACGGCACGTCGGCGACGCGCCAGCCGAGCCGCCGCATCTGCCTCTGCTTGAGCAAGTGCGCCCCGCAGGGCGAGGAGCCGATGAAGTGGTCGGGGCCGCTGACTTCGACGCCGAGCCGCTGGCCGCGCCACTCGACGACAAAGTCGAGCGAGTAGCCGTTCTCGACGAGCACCTCCTCATGCGGCGAGAGACCCATCAGCGCGAGCGCCTCCCCCACCTGCCGCTGCATCTGCGACGACTGCACCGGCCAGCTCACAAACGCCTCCTTCGCTCGCCTCAGCAGCTCCGGGCTCGGCAGGAGAACACCGCACCGCCCGCCGCCCTCCTCGCCGCCGCCGCCGCCAACGCCGCCAACGCCAACGCCGCCGCCAACGCCGCCAACGCCACCAACGCCGCCGCCGCCGCCGCCGCCGCCCCCCTCGCCGCCGCCGCCGCCGCCCCTGCCGCCCCCCTCGCCGCTCCACCCCTCGCCTTCGCACCCCTCGCCTCCAAGCCACAGCCGCGCCTGGTGCAGCTGCGAGAGGTGCTCCGCCTCGAAGTGCGGCGCGAGCTCGTCGCACCGACCGGCGAATCCGGCGCCAAACAAGCCAGCCGACTGCGTCTCGGGCCGGTGGTCAAAGACTGCGAATGCCCACGCCAGCGAAGTGAGGCCGAGCGGAGAGAACTGCGACAGCCGCGGCGCCGCCTCGGCGGCAATGGCGTCGAAGAGTTCAGGCGCCGCGTGCCCCGCCGACGCAAACGCCCACGCGGTGTTGGCGAGGCCCTGCGGGTCGAATTCGGCCAGCCGCGGCGCCGCGGCCTCGGAGAGCGCATTAAAGAGGGCGGGCGCGCTGCGGCGCGCCTTCGCAAACGCCCACGCGGTGTTGGCCAGCTCCTGCGGCTTGAAGCCGCCGACGCCGCGGCGCGCCACCTCCGCAGCGAGCGCGTCGAAGAGCAGAGGCACGGGGGCGGCCGACGGCTTGCCTCTGCAGCTGCCCGCCGCGCCGTCGGCCGCACACGCCCATGCGAGGATGGAGAGCTCCTGCGGCTTGAACTGCGACAGCCGCGGCGCCGCCTCGGCGGCGATGGCGTCGAAGAGTTCAGGCGCCGCGTGCCCCGCCGTCGCGTACGCCCACGCGGTGTTGGCGAGGCCCTGCGGGGAGAAGGCGTCCAGGGAGAGCAGAGACCGACCAGAGAGCGCGTCGAAGAGTGCGGGCGCCGCATGCGCCACCTTCGCAAACGCCCACGCGGTGTTGGCCAGCTCCTGCGGCTTGAAGCCGCCGACGCCGCGGCGCGCCACCTCCGCAGCGAGCGCGTCGAAGAGCTCCGGCGCGGGCTTGCCAGCCTTGGCGAAGGCCCAAGCCATGTTGCTCATGTCCTGCGCGTTGAACTCTGCGACGCGCGCCGTCCCCTCCGCCGCGACCGAATCGAACAGGCGATGTGGCGCGTGCCCCACCGTCGCGCTCGCCCACACCAGGTTGCACAGGCCCTGCGGCGCAAAGTCGGCGAGGTGCGGCCGCGCGGCGGTGGCGATGGCGTCGAGGAGGGCGACAGGCTGCCGCCCGCCCGCCGCCGACGCCCACGCCGCCGACGCCCACGCCGCGCGCGCGAGTCGCTTGGCGGTGATGTCCTTCTCTCCGCCTCCGCCACCGCCGCCGACGGCGGTGTCGCCTCCCCCTTCTCCGCCTCCGCCTCCGAGCCACGGGCCGGATGCTCCGTGGAGCGCGTCGAGCAGCGCAGCCTCGGTCGCGCCCCAGAGCTGCTCGGCCGGCGTCTCGCGGACCCGCAGCCGCGCGAGGTTGCACAGCAGCTGAATGCACTGCGCCGGAGACCAGTCCGCCACCGACGCCGCGCTGTCGCGGCAGAGCGCGCGGAAGGCGGGGCCCGACAGAGCGGCCCGGCGCTGCCGTAGAGGCTGGCGGCTGTGCCCGAGGTTGTTCCAGCAGGCGCGGAGGTGGGACGCGGTGAGGTGGCCGCGCCACCGCGAGTGCAGCCCGAGCAGGTCCTGCACGCTCCCAGAGGCCAGCAGCTGCGCCTCGAGCTGCTGCAAGCCGTGCGGCGGCGGCGGGCTGCGGTGACGGCCATCGGACCCGCGGCCAGCCCGTCGCGCGCCAGCGGCGTCGCGCGGAGCGCCGGCCGCACCGCGGGCTGCCGGGCGGCGGTCAGCGGCTCTATGCGCTGCGTGGCTGCCGGCGCTGGGAACCTCACTGATCGCCACTCGTGTCGCCAAAGTGCGCAGTAGTGCCGACCGAGCACGGGCGCGTAGCGATTGGCGGCATAGCATGATGCACGCCGCCTTGTCCGAGAGCGTCGAACCCGAGAGCGTCGAGCGTCGAACCGAGAGCGTCGAAGCGAGAGCGTCGAACCCTCCCAACTCCCGCGCGATCGCCCTCGCGACTCAAGGGTGCGTGACCGCCGTGAGCCCGTGAGCTGACAAGTAAATAACGGAAGAGGCAGAGTCAGGGTTGGTTGATTGTACACGTACATCAAGAGAGTACTCTCGTATCGTCACAACTCTCTTGCGTACTGTTACGAGCTGAGCTGGACCTCATCACAGACGGTGGTAGAGGTGCCCAAGGAACCAGACTCGCGGGTCACGAAGACACCACGACGCTCCCGAGGGGGCGGCTGCTACCTCCCACGTGTCGGCATGTCGACGTAGAAATGTACATGGTAGCGGGTGGGGAGCTATCGGTGCGCTCAACTCTCGCCGGTTCTGCCACAAGAAGCGCTGCTCGAGCACCTCGAGCAGTTTGCAGAATTCGCTGGGCACTTCTCTGTGCAGCATTCTAAACGCGCCCCTCGCCGATGGCCGGAAGGAGCTGCGGCTCGTTGTGGAGCACAGTGTTTTGATAGTAGTGGGCGGTGTTCATCACGAGCACGCGAGGCGGCTGCACCTGCGTCAAGCGTTGGGAGGGGGCACGCACGTGGGGGACGGTGTGTGCTCTGCCTTCGCCGTATAGCGCCGCGCACCGTCCGGCCGTCTGTGAGGCGGTAGTTCTGGGCCGCGAGAGGCGAGCGGCGCTGGTTGCGCTTGGTGGTGGCGGGCGTAAACATGTCCGAGTAGCTGACCTCCTGCTGGTACCTGCGCGCAGGTAAGAGGAGGATGCAGCGTTCTGGCAGCGTTTCGCCAGGACCAGGCAGTGCTGTTGCCAGTCGCAGTGGTGTTCGGAAACTAAGAACCCGGGAGCCGCCTGCGCAGAGCGAGGGCGACGGCGAAGCAGGCAGCGTGGCAGGTTGAGCGCATGGGGTGTGCGTCAGCGGAGGGGGGGGGGGGGGGGCGAGACCTGACGCATGCGTGAGGCAGGCCTCCGGTAGGTCTCAGGGGCTGGCTGCACACCTCTGGAGGCGGTCCGAGGCGAAGAATGGTGGCGAGAGGCAGAGCCAGGTTTGGTGGGACCTGATGGAGGGAAGGCGTGAAGGCACCACGCGGCAGGGCCCAAGCGCACCGTCTGCCCGTGTCCACCAACAAATCTCTCTCCTCTTCTAGCTACACGTGTATGGCTCTGTCAGCCGGGGCGCAGGCGCCTTCAGGATGAGCGGAAGCAAGCGCTGCTCTCTCTCCATCCAGAAGAGGACGCTTGCCTATTTGCAGACACACTCCGTGGCGGTGAGCTGTGGGCGTTCGCGGCGCGTGGCGAGAGTGGCGCCGCGCGCCCCGGGTGGAAACGGCTGGGCCATCTGTGAGCCCGGATGCTTTCTCGGCCCGCTTGTCGTTATTCCATATCCCCCCCACCGTTATTTGTACTCCCCCAAACCGTTATATTTGTACTTAGTAACTGACATTCCGAACATCGCCATGTACCCCTGCGCCGGCGATTAGGGTTGCCTAACGTTAAGAGCTGAACAGTGTTGCTAGTGTTAACAGTAACAACAGAACAACAGTGGGCCCCCCCAACAACAGTAGCTAACGTTAGGCCGACTGAACAACAGTAAGGAAGGCCTGGCAGTGACCCACGACGATCTCTAGTGTCCAGTGCGGGTAAAAGGAGGCGGGCGAGGAGGGCGCGGCCGGCGCGACCGACTCGCTGGAGGGCCGCGTCGCCAAGCTGCAAAAGATGGTGGAGGAGCTGGAGAGCTCGTAAAGCCGTAGGCTCACGGCGTGCATGACCCATGACGGTCACGGTTTCCAGACCGGTCCGCGTCGTCGACGTCGTCCCGTCACACACGGCACAGATAGTGGGCCCCGTCGTGGCCCTGACACACAGTCCCGTCGCGCGGGGGGGATCTTACAAGTTTTGGAATGAAATTGCCCACGTCATAAAGCCAAATCACCCGACACCCCACCCTCTGACAGAGATAAAAACACTCGTCGCGACGAAAACGGCGACATTATATCGACGACAATGAGGAACGAGTCGGCGTGGCTTCGTATAGTCAACAATCAACAGTGCTCTCAACTCTTATCGCACTGACACTCACTGCGTGCGCTCCCGAATACCTCCGAATACAGCACACCCTGCACAAAATCAGCACCACCCCTCCGCTCTAATCCATGCGTCAGCTCGATCCTGCTCCGATGATAGCTCGCGGCCTAAATGTGCGGCGAGCCAAGCAAATGCCAGCGATGCTCCACAGGCTCATGAGTGCCAACACGGATGCTCGCCGGGCTTGATCCGGCACGTTGACGAGCCGTAGAGGGCCAGCTTCCGGGTAGGCGTCCGGCCATTCGCACGCAAGTATGAGAAGAATGGGAGGCCAGTAGGCGAAAAGAGAGCATTCAATGACGCCGCGCGCGGCCGACGAGGCGATCGCCACGCTAGCTCGGCGCACAAAGCTTTGGAGGTCTGCCTGGTTGCTCGAGCGCGCGAGGCGCTCGCCACGTTGGAGGCTAACGGCAAGACTGCTAGGAATCCAGGCAAGCATGTACGAACAGGCAAACATGAAGTAGATGCCTTGGGTGAATGTTGAGGTCTCTCGAAACCATGCGATTGCGCCCAATAAAAGGCAAACGCCAGGGAGCAACAACAAGAGGAGGTTGGAGTACAGCGTAGTTGAACCACTGACTCGTTGCAACACCTGCTCCTTGAGTTGTGTTCGTACCATGTGATTGAATGCGTCCAACCCATTGGTCTCACCTCGCAAATAGATGGCACCAATAGCAGCATAGATCTCGTCGCGGTCAGTTGCACTGTAACAACCAGCCACTCTCACGTCAAACGACTCAAGGCTGGACGCTAGAGCTTTCCGCTGAAGTGCCATGGAGGCTCCAAAGAGGGTGGCGCCAAGGTAGCCGAGGAAATAGAGTACAAAAAGGAGTGCTGCCAACATTGGCATCGAGGATTTCCAGTAATCATCACCCATCAAGACTCTCTCTCCAGTTGGACCGTGCATCGATCCTGTCAGGTCGCCACGGAAAACAAGCATCGCAACCAGCAACATCACGCTCATCCCCACGGCCAATGCTGCCATTGCCACAACAACGACGACAGCTTTGCGCAGCGGCAGGAAAATCACTGGCCTGTTCGGATGGATCGCTCTGTACATTGCGAGCTCGTAGACGCACCAGAGGCGGCTGAAGTAGTGCTCATCCCAGAGCACAACCAGCTGAGAGGACATTGCGACGAACCCAGCCAGGTGCCGGATGCCCTGGGTCTTCAGAGCTCGGTTTGTCTGGTGGATGCAAGCCGCGTCAACAAAGTATGACCGCCGTCGCTGCGCCGCCAGCCAAACAAACACCGACGCGAAGGCGGCTATCAAGCCAGCGACGTACTCGTGACAGGATGCGATGAGAACGCTCGGGTTCTCAGCCGTAAACCGTGTTGGGACGTTTCCGGGTAGTTCCACTGAGCGTTGCAGGTGAGCCATCAGCAGGCTGGCGACAATACCGACGACCAGTGGCACAAGCCCAACCTCGTGCAGAGCGAGAGCCATCCACTTGCTCCAACCCTCCGACCGCCACGCGTGCGAGATGAAGGAGTCGATGGCACAGACAGGGCGCGACCGCTCGTAGAGCCTTTCTCGATCCTCACGGTCCAGCCGATCCGGCAGCTTGGCGAACAGATTGTTGACAGGAGATGCAAGTGTGCTGGCGATGCTGACGCCTCTCTGGAGCTCTTGCGGCGGATGGAGCGTACTGGCTGCAGCGATGTACTTGGAAACGTTCACCGCCTGCGCTACGGCGGACTCGCTGGACTGCAACGACGCCGGCGAGGTCTTCCTTTCGTGCATCCTGGCCGGTCCTTGGGTCTGGCTAATGCGAAGCGCTGAGTCCTGCTAATGCCGGCGGGGTGCGAGGTGGACGTGTCATGGATCGGGATTCCAGTTTTTTCTTTTTTCAGCCGGTGAGGGCAATAGGAGAAGGTCCCATGCGGTCTTTGTGCAGGGTTCTTTGTGGGTGTGGTCGGCGACTACATGTAGCCGGGGTTGTCCTCCCGATGAGGGGGGACTAGCACTTCCGGTGGAGGGCGCGATTCCAGTTGCGAGCGAGGCGTGGAAGAGGAGCGAGACGGCCGCGAGGCGAGCGATGTCGGCGGGGTCGCAGCGAGAGAGGACGCGCAGGAGGAGGTCCGTGGGAAGGTCGAGCACAGGTCGAGCAGGAGCAGGTGGGCGGCGGCGTGTCTGGCGAGGGAGCGGCGGTGGCGGCGGAGGCGAGGACCCTAGAAAGACTGTTGAGTATATGAGCGACCCACCTCGAGGGTTGCTCCCGACTCTGGCCTTTTCTGGGTCACGTAGCCACACCTCGCCTCCTTGGTGCGAGTGGCTGCCAGTTCGACTCTGGGGAGGATCGAACCATAAACAAAGGCACTTGGCCTCCGAGAATTCTTTATCTCTGACATGGGCCATCTGCGCCCCGTAGACCGCGAGCCGCGAGAGCGGTGAGGTGCAGCTGAGCACAGCATCGCGAGCACCAGGCCGGTAAAAATGCCCTCTCGGTTCGTGTCCCTGACCGTGACGCCGGGCGTCGACTGCAAGGTCATCCTGCCGCCCTGCTCCGCGCTCACCCTCTCGAACGCCGCGCTCGCCGCGCAGCCAAAGTCGGCGGCGTTTGGCCGCTGCGTGCTGGAGTGCGACCTCGCCACTCACTCTTTTGTGGTGTGCTCGCTGCTCACGACGGGCGTGCGGCAGGCCGCGCCCGAAATCACGATCACCAACGACCCAGACGAGCCCGCCTGGTTCTTCCTCAAAGTGCGCGCGCCGCTGTGCAGCAAGCTCCTCCGCACATGCTCTGCGGCTCACCCTCCCGCACGCTCTGGCCTCGCAGGCGAGCGGCCCGCACTCCTTCCACGTGCTCGGCCGGCTCATCGAGGACAAGGCGACACGCCGGTCGTCGGCCGCTGCGGCGCGGAAGCAGGCGCCGCCGCCGGCCGCGCGGGAGCTTGCCCGCACCGCAGCAGCCCCGGCGGCGCCTGCTCCCGCGCCGCAGAGTCGCCTCGGTGGTGCCTCCGACATGATCGAGGTGCTGCTCCCGAGCGGCGACGAGGCGCTCGGCTTCGAAGCGCCGTCCGACGCCGACTCGGAGGAGTTCATCGAGTACATGCAGGCGCGCCAGGCGCGCAAGCCTCCGAGCCGAGCCGCGCCCACCAAAGCAGCAGCGAAGCCCTCGAGCAGAGGGCGAGGCGCGGCTGGCCGCCGGAGGTGACGGCGAGGGCGTAGTAAATTCGTATACAGTCTTGGTGCTCTGCACTTTAGCACTTGAGGGAAGAGAACTTGGCTGGGAGTGTGTGGTCGGCAACCTCACACTCAGGGCATTGAAAATCTCTTCTCTCACTCTCGGGGGGGGGGGGGGGGGGCATAAAAAAAAAAAAACAGGGCGCCCCTAGGACCAGCTGATCTGGGCGCTTTGTTTTTATGAGTTATTAGCCGGCCTTGAGAGCTTTTTAATCTTGTTCGCGCCAAAATCAGCCCAAGAGTGCCACATACATTGAGAGAGAGAAAATCAGCCCAAGAGTGCCACTGCGCCGCTGGGGCGCACGAATTCTTGCAGTTTCTCGCGCCCGGCTCTCGCGCTGCTGCCGATGGCTCTGGCCCTCGGCCTCGTCTCAGCGTTGGCCCTGCTACCGCCCGTTGCTCCGTTCCCAATGCCCGCCTCGTCGGCCAGCCGCCCGTTGCTCCGTTCCCGGCTCGGCGCCCGCACTGCCACGCAGCTCACCGCTGCTGCCGGCAGCGCGCCATCGCCCACGCCGCCGCCCCCTCCAGCTTCGGTGGGGCGGCTGCGGCGGCTGAGCACGGCGTCGAAGGTCTCTGTCGCCTCCGTCCTCCTCTCCACCTTCCTCAACCTCCTCGGCTTCACGCTCACCTTGCCGGTCAACGTGGCGCTCCGCGAGCACTTTGAGTTGCAGATGGGCGCCTCGTTCGGCTCGCTATCGTCGGCGTACCCGCTCGGCACCTTCGGCGCCCTCTTCCTCTGGCCGCGCCTCTCCGACCGCGTCGGGCGGCGGCCCGTGATGGCGCTCTCTCTCGGCGGCATCGGCGCCGGCCAGTCTCTGCGGTCGTTGCGCCGCCCTGGACCCTCTGAACTCCTCTGAGCCTCTCCATGCAGGCGTCGGCCTCGCGCTGCAGTCGTGGGCCATCTACAGCCGCGCGCCCATCTCCGTCTTCCTCGCCTGCCGATTCCTCACCGGCTGCTGCGCCGGCGCGGGGCCGGTTGGCAAGGCGACACCTGCAAACCTTTACGGGACACTTCCGGGACACCACCGAGACGCCTCATGCCCCGTCCGAGACGCCTCCGAGGCTCTTCCGAGACGCCTCCCGACTGCTCCTGCCCTCGTCTTGCACCAGACGGCGTCTCTTCACACCGGCAGGCGTGAACCCACCCTCAGGCGCTGCTCGCGGACATTGGGTGCGCCACCGGCCAACTGCCGCGCTTCATGGCGTGGCGCGACGCGGCAACCAAGCTCGCCTTGCTCGCCGGCCCTCGCCTGTTGATTCTGAAGCACCTGATGAAATGAATTAAGGCGACGACGCTCGCCTTCATCGCCGGCCCTTCCATCGGCGGCGCCCTCTACACCGCTAGCGGGAGCCTCGCAACGGCCCGCAGATAGATGCAGAGGCGCGACGAACAGCCAGGCTCGGGCTGGGACACCGGCGCGGGCTGGGTGGACCCTAGACAGGGGTGCCGGCACGCTGGAGCGGCACACAGACACACAGACTCATGCCACTCGGCCAGCGGCGTGGCGGCCCGGCTCCCGTCGCAGCCTCGCAGTGCGCCTCCCTTCACGCCCGTCTGCTGTGAACAGGTCATCGGCGTCGCGGCGGCCGGCTCGCTCGCAGCTTCGCTCATCATCGGCTTTCTCGCCTCGGAGCCAGACAGCGCGCCGCCGCCGTCCGCCGCCGCTGCCGCCTCTTCCGCCGACGGCGTTGGCAAGGCAAGGGAGGGCAAGGCGGCGCCCGCCGATGGGATTGTCGCGTGCCCGCTCGGCACGCGGCTTGTTGCCGCCGTCGCCACCGTCTGCGCCGTTTCGGCGCTGTACAACTGCGGCTCGGCCACGTACGCCGCCTTCTTCGGCCCTCTGGCGCAGGACTTGCTGGGTCTCGGCATCGGCGGCATCGGCCGTGCGTACACGGCTCTCGCTTGCCTCTCCTTCGCAGTCTCCGCTGGCGGCTCTGCTCGCGTCCAGGGCACGATCGGCACGGTCGCCACGTGCGCGCTCGGCCTCGCCGCGGTCGGCGCCTCTTTGCTGCTGATGGGCGCCGCCACACTCGCGGCCGCCCCTCGCCCCTCGCTCGTCTTTTGGGCCGGCGCGGCGCTGTACCAGCTCGGCACGCCGCTCTACGCGCCAACCGTGCCTACCATGCTGCTGCAGTGCGTGCCACGCCACCGGCGCGGCGCAGTCATGGGGCTCGACGAAGCCATCAACACGGTGGCGCGCGTCGGCGCGCCACTTCTCTTCGGGCAGCTCTACCACACGCTCGGCGCCGCCGCCGCCTTTGGCGCCGCCGGCTCGGCCGTCCTCTTCGCCGCCGTCATCGCGGTGCTGCGCCGCATGGTGGTGTTGCGCTCCAGCTATGCGTGAGGGGTGTGTGGGGAGTCTCGATACTCCTTCACCTTCTCTGGTCGCTCTTCTCCGTCGCGGGCGGGCGCCGGCGCGCGCGGCGGAGTGGGGGCAAGCGAGGGGCCTTTTTAATACAAAACCGGGTTCTGATGGGCGGCACAGACAGGCCTTCTCTCTCAGGACTCAGCAGCACACTCAGCTCTCAGGCGCAGGTTGCAGCATGCAGGTTGGTGCGGCTCTGCAGGTGTGTGCGCGTGTGATCCGCGCGCAGAAGCGTACCCACTCATTCCTCAGTACAGCCACCGAGAGAGGTTCGCCCTCTGCTCCATCTGCTCACGGATCCAGCCTCGCCCGGGCAGCAGCCTCCACGGCCGGCTCCGATCTCCGGTGCGGGCGAGCCGGAGGAAGGTCTGCGAGGCGTTGCCGACGCCGCCAGGCCCCCTGGCGTTCCACGAGTCTCCCAGCAGGATCGGGGTGAACCTCCCCGCCTCGTCCACCCACGGCACGACCGACGAGGGCTGTGAGTTGTACGTGGTCGCCGCAGAATCGAGCGGGCGCAGCAGCGGCGCGAGGAGCGCGTGCAGCGGCGCCTCACCCCCGGGCACCGTGCCCAGCTCCTCCCACCCGCCCGCAGCGTCGAGCCGCCCACGGTGGCGCCAGATCTGCAGCGGGTTTGGCAGGTACCAGGTCGCATAGGAGCAGAGGCAGTACGTCGCGCCATCTTCGTCCTCAAAGAGGGCCGGAGCCTCGCAGGGGCCGGGGATGGCGGAGACGCGGCGCGTGACGTCGGTGTAGGAGGGGTTGAGGGCAGAGACGACCGTCTCCTCGTGGCCGTTCGTGTCCCGAACGAGGAAGGCCGCGTCAGAGGTGGGCGAGCGGTGCAGCTGCAGGTCGAAGGAGTGGAGCCCGCCTGGGCGCAGCGCATGGAGAAACGCAAAGGGCCCGAGCGGGCTGTCCGAGGTGGCCACGCCGGCGTACCGATAGGTGTAGGAGAAGGAGTCGAGGTGAAACCACATCACGAACTTGGACGTCGCCCGGTTGTACAGCACCTTTGGCCGCTCGAGCACGTAAGGACCTGGCTCCGAGGACGGAAGGCTGACCGAGGTGTTGCGAAAGACGATGCCGGCGCTCCGCCAGCGCGTCATGTCGTCGCTCACGTAGCACGCGATCCCTTCATTGGTCCAACCCTCGTTGACTCCCACCGGGAAGCCAGGCGCAGAGAGCACCTTGGCAGCCTCCCCGTACCAGTAGAACCGGCCGTGTGAGCGAAGGATGTGGCCTCCGAATACCTCCATCTTGCGACGGTCGGTGTCTTGCAGGAAGGGCCACTGGGACGCAGCAGCCTCGTCGTCGGAGAGGAGAGATGCAGCTGAGGTAGCGAACCGCTGCGTCGCTCCACCATCCAGGTGCTGCAGAGGGCCATCGCCGCGGCTGGACGCCGTGCTCAGCGCGTATGATGCGAAGCGTGGCGGGGCATGCGCGTCAAGGTAAGCGGTGGCAAGCAAGGCGTAGCCCGTCAGGCGGCCGGCGAAGCGGCCGAGGGCGGAGCTGGGGTCGAGCATGGAGTCACGTACCATGCGGAACCTATCCAGTGCTCAAGTGCTCAAGGAGCACCACAAAGGAGCCATACTGTATTCGGATCCGGGCGATTTGATAAAAATAATACCCCGCTGCTGGTAAGGAAAACACACACCAACTCCCAGAGTCAAATATCTCGTGAATTTCTGGGCGCCAGGAACAGGGATCATCCGGCTCTCTCGGCACTCGGGTCTCGACGCGTCGAGCTTTGAGGGCCTGGCACATCTTCTGCAGTCGTAACATGTCACGCCACTCTGCACGGTCCCTGCACCTGCCATAAACCATGAGACATGGAGAAGTGCTCAGTTGGCTGCCAGGTCGTGTGCAGCCTAGACCCGAGACGCCGCGACAACAGACGCGGAAGTCTCCGGCAAAGAGGCCTCCGTTAGTGATGACTCGGCCTCAACCGAAGTCAGGGCCTTGCGGGACAACATTGACGACAGACTGCGGCGGATCGACACAGAATCTTGTGCCCGCTGGATTGCGCCAATCGCCTTCGCCAGCAGAGAGAGCGACACCTATCGTACCCGAGAGTGATGGCGCGACTTGACATCGAGCGACTTTGCAGAGTGCGAGTGGATGCCGAGTGCTAACGTTGGCACCGATGACCCACACCTGCTCCTGCTCCACGTAGTAGATGTAGATCCCATTCGATGCGCGTAGGTACACGTGGTGCTCTCCAGCGGCCGCGTCGGCAGCGAGCGAATAAGAGCCGTCGTAGACCTGGCCCGGGGTGTGACCGAGGGCGGCGTCGAGGCCGGAGAGAAGAAGCTCGTCGCACGGGCACGCCGATGCCGCAGACGTCGCAGCCGAAGCCGCGAGACCGCCGAGCAGGAGGGCTCCGGGCCAGGGGAGAGCCGACGTCATAGTCATAGTTGTCAAAGTCTGGACGTTCGGCGGGCGATTGCGAAACTCGGGCGCAGAAACCAGCCGTAGATTAGCCATTCCAGGTCCCCGGCCAGATGTGAGGTACCAACTGCACTCCAAGTGCTCCAAGTGCTCCTAGCCAAGCTAAAGATCCGTCAAATATGGGTTGGGAGCTAAACTTACTTTCAGCTTTCTTTTTCCGCGCGCGCCCCGCAAAGGCGCGAATGAATACACACACACATGGCCGTGCGAAAATACACACATAGAGGTCTCGTCCGGTAAATTACCGTATCTGTTGTGCACATGGTCGCTCGGCTCTACGTGTGAGTGTGCCACCCCCTCGCGCGCACACTTGAAGCTGGTAGTCAGCTACAAGCTCGAATGCGCTGCATCGACTCGCGCATGCTCTGCAGCCGCTCCAGCTGCGAGGCGGTGAGGTGAGGCCCCGGCGCATCGCTGCCGCCAAGTAGGTCCAACTTGCCGAACGACGCGCTCTTCCTCGCGAGCGCGCCGCTGCCCTGCCCCTCCCGCTTTGGCGCCTGCACCCCCCTCGCAGTCGTCGCACCGCTGCCCGCCTGGACCTGCCCAAGTCGCGAGTGGACAGCCTCAAACGGCACTCGGCGAGAGGCATCGCCGCACCGGCCGCCGCCGCTCGGCCCGCCTCCCGTCCCGCCGGCTGCCCCGCCGTCCGCCCCGCCGTTGGTCCCGCCGCTGGCGCCGCTGCGACTCGCGGCTGCCCCCGCGCCAGCGCACGCGCCCGGACGGCCCGCCGTTAATGAGACCTCTGCGGCCAGCTGCGTTGCGGCATGCTCCGCCTCTCCCCGCACGGCTCGAGTGGAAGCCCTCGCCGGTGGCATCGGCCCCTCACCCCCGCCCTGCTCCGCCACGAGCGCGGCGAGACCCGCCTTCACGCGTCGGAGAAACGTCCGGCTGTCCGCCTCGCTGCGGAACGCAAGCCGCAGCCGGGTCGCCCCCATGTGACAGCAGATGGCGGAGCTCAAGAGCAGAGACGCCTGCGGGTCGAGAGGGTGTGGGCAAAAGACGTTTGCGGAGCGGACGAACGCACGATCTGCGTGATCACACGCTCAATAGCTATGGTGCAGATGCCGCGCTCCTAGCGAACACCTCAAATCGGCGCCCGCCGCCGCAGCCACCCACAGCGTCGCCGATGCGACTCGCGCGGCGCGCCGAGTCGTCGACGGCGGCGAGGATGGCGTCGAAGCGCCACAGGCAATCCTGCGCGCCGGTCTCAACGTGGGCCGACCACACGCCGCGCCGGTCGATGTGAAGGAGCCTCTCTCGCTGGAAGAGAGCGCCCACCGTCGCGGCAATCCCCTCTGGCGCCGCCTGCCCCGCCTCCGCCTGGTGCCCCGCCTCCGCCTGCCCCGCCTCCGCCGCCACAGCCTCTGCCGCCACCGCCGCAGCCTCTGCCGCCGCCTCCGCGGCTGGGCCTGGGAGGGTCTGGCGGGCGCGGAACGCAGAGATGCGCTCTCCAAGCGACTGGCGCGGCGGCAGCGGGGTGGGATCGCAGCGCCCGGCCCGCCCTGCGAGGTCGCCGTGGCTGGAGGCACGCCCTGCGAGGGCCGGCTCGCGGCTCAACGCCTCCGACCCGGACGCCTGTGGGCAAGGTTCCGAGAAGGCTCCTGGAGGGCTCCGAGCAGCAATCTCAAGGACGCCTCCCGCACGCCTCCCTCCCCCGCTCGAGGGCGGCGTGAGCAGCGTCGGTGCCGCCCCGCCACTCGCCGCCAACCGGCGCTGGTGCTGGACCTCCGCCAAAGCTGCTGCCGCTGCTGCCGGAGAGCTCGGGCGCGGGTCCTCCTTGCTCCTCGAGGATGTGGAGGTTGACGAGCGAGTAGACCCGCTGAGGCAGCCGCCCGCTCCGCAGCGTCCCCGCAGGGGAGGGGGTGCCCGCAGGGGAGGGGGTGCGGCCGAGAGCACGGCGGACCGCCTGTCGACACGCAGCCGAGCGATCGCCGAGATACAGCCGAGATAGCCGAGAGCACGGCGGGCCGCCTCAGGAGACGGTCGGGCCGCAGCCTCCCGAGCGACGAGCCGCCTGCGCACAGCGAGGAGGTGAGCAGTGCCAGCGTCTGGGGCTAGCCTTCTGCTGCCGCTGCCGGTCGCCGAAGCAAGCTCTTCGTCTCCGCCGCGACAGAGTGCAACGTGCGGTGGCCAAAGTCAGGCGCAGCTCCGCCCGCCCACGCGCCGCGCGAGTTTGCGAGGAGGGCAAAGAGGCATGCGCCGAGGCTGTACACGTCGGCGGCGGCGCTCCAGCAGTGGCCTCCCTCCACCTGCGGGAAAGTCCAGCGCGGCCTCCCGCCACGCTGGCTGGATGTCTTAGCTCTGTGTGTCTGTGTTCAGTGAGCCTGTGTCTGTGTGACCGTCTACTCCGCCGCCTCTGGCGCGGCGTAGCCGGTGGTGCCGGAGAACGGAGGCGCGGTCGGCTCCTCGGCGGCAGCTGCGCCGCAGTCACAGGCGTGGCCAAAGTCGCAGAGCAGCACGCGCGGCCCATCGATCGACGCGATGAGCAAGTTCTCCAGCTTGACATCGCGGTGGAGCACGCCGCACGCGTGGATGTGCTCCAGCGCGTGCGCAACCTGGCAGGTGATCGCACACGCCACAGGCTCGGACAGCGCGCCGTGTCTTTGCAGTAGCTGCTGCGCGTCACCGCCACTCACCAGCTCGAGCGCCAGAGCCACCTCGTCCGGACCGGTGAGCAGGCACCGCAGGCCAATGACGTTTGGGTGGACGCACCGCTTCAACATCTCCGCCTCGTTGGCAAAGGTGCGGCACAGAAGCGACCACCGCAAGCCTCGCTTGCGGCGAGCGAGCTTGATGGCCACGGGCTCTCCGGTCTTGCGATCGGAAGCCGAGAAGACCACACCGGAACAGCCGGCGCCGAGCCGCGCTGCGAGGTGGTAGCGGTCGACAAATGAGGGCGGCGGAGGCATGATAAGCCAGGTTGCTCACTGTGTGCCTAGACCGCGGAGTACCGACCGAGCCGAGGTTCTGTTTTTCGGCGCTTTGCGCTTTGTTTTTCGGCGCTTTTCTTCACAGGATTTTCCTGTGAAGAGAGACGTACATACATACATACAGAGACGTCGAGAAACAGATTTTCAAACTCGATGTCGAACCACCAGCCCGACGCTCACTACAAGTGACAGCGGGATTTCTCTTTTCAGAGAGAGAGAGATTTTTAGCAATACCAAACAACTCTAACACTCACACGTCATTTGGGGCCTGGAGCCCTGTTCACGCGCTCTTTTCATGAAATTCACATGATATATGATATGTGTGTGTGCGCGCTTCGAAACCTTTAAAAGAGAGAGAGCTGTTTTTTGTTTAAAAGTCGATCGAGCCAGCCCCGCGCCAATCAAGATGACACGCTTTGCACGACGGCAGCTGTGCGGGGGTCAGATTTGTTTTTTGTTTGCGTGTGTGCGCGCGCACCTGGCGAGTAGAGACCACGCCTCACTTTTTCACAGGGGGGGATCCGTCTGGAAAAAGGCTTTTCGCTGCGCATGCTCGAGCCCCCGGCGAGGGCTTGTGCAGGTTGTGCTGTGAATAGCAGGCGTGGTCTCTACTCGCCAGCGCGCGCACGGCGCACCGCCCCACTTATCACACGCCTCCTCTTTCCAGACGCCCCCTCTCAAACCAGCAGGGCTCGCACCTCAACCTCTCACAGGTAGGTAGGTAGAAAGGTGAAGAACAGCCAGGCTCGGACTGGACACCAACGCGGTATGGGTGGACGCTGGACAGATGATGACGCACAAAAGAAAGAAAGAAAGAAAACAGACAACCCAAGGGAGGGATGGGAGGACGGCACGCCGCCACCACACAGGGATTAAAAGGAGAGGTGTGTGGTGCTAGCCGTCGCCCACCCTAATCCTTGGTCAACCTCTCACAGGGCGGCTGTTTTTTGTAACATCGCTGTGAGCGGTTCGAACGCACGGACGGCGACGGCGACCGCGACCATGGGCGCAATCTTCAGCAAGCTATTTGGCACATCCCCGCCCAGAACGGTGAGAGTCGTCTGCGTCTCTCCCGTCGCCTCCGCGAGGGCGGCGTTCACTCTCGACGCGCTGCGAGCCGCCTACGCCGGCTGCAGCGCCGATCCTCCGGTCACGGTGGTCTTCGACGACCGCGACGCGGACCGGAAGGTCTACGCGCCCGCCTTTCGCTGCGAGTCGACGACGGAGGCATCGGCCGACTGCGCGTGGGAGGAGGGCACCTACGACGGCGTGCTGATGATGGCCGCGATCAGTGACGCGCAGGGCAGAGCGCTGACGACCCTGCTAAACAGCGATCGGTGCTCGAGCTTCGTCGCAAACGGCGCGCCCGGCTTCAACGTCGGCTGCTCCGCCGCCTCCATCGGCCTCACGCGCACGATGCGCCGCGCGGGCCTGGTCGAAGACTCTTCCGAGGCGCACACAACTCCTTGCACACTAGAGGGCCGCATACCGGGCTACACGACACCCCTCTACGCCGACTGAGGGCGCCGGCGCCCTACTGGAGGCCCACCCAACCCCACCCGCTAGGCCCGCCGCCTCGCGGTACCTTGCACGTTCTTGTCTCCCTTTCGCACGCACGCACGCACGCACGCACCGAGTACACATGCATGCATTTCATGCGCAAACCTTCCCGAACCTTCCCATAGGCGCTCTCGCTCAGTCTTGAAGAGACCGCCGTCTACATGAGGTACTCCCTCCCCCCCCCCCACCCCCA